CAAGATAAATGTGCAGAAGGTGTTTGTGTGTGTGTGTGTGTGTGTGTGTGTGTGTGTGTGTGTGTGTGTAAGTGTAAGTGTAAAAACGAGAGCGAGAGACTAAGACACTGGAACATAGCCATTATCAAGAGCAGAGCATAGCAGGGCAGGCGGAACCAAAGGTCTGTTCCACAGGGGGAGTGATTAAGGCGTTGCGCAAGGCCCACAGGGGAGAGAAAGGGCAGAAAGGAGAGCTCATTACCCATAATGTGGAAAAGGAAGATCTCTCACCCAACGCAGTGTGGACGACGCACACACACTCTCACAACATTGCTTAGAAAATCAAGCTCTTTGTGATTCTGTTGAACTGAGTGCAGTGAAAGTAAATATGTTGCTGATTTACTGTGCAGATGGGTTCCTGTCAGAAGAAGAAACACTCAATGAAGAGCAGCTAGGCATGGGACAAGAGGGAGGACAGGCTCTAGGGGGTTTAAACACCTGCAAATTGACTTGTTCTCAGTTTCTACGTGCAGTAATAGACTTCTTCCCACCATTTTAATGAATTGAGTACCTGATGGTCGCAACAGTGTTCTAATTATTCTTTCACTACTCAGAAGTGAACATGAGCTGACAGATCTAGTTCATGTCTAGTTGTCGTCATACAGTAATCTGAAGTTCCAAGACATTCTTACAGCCTTTTATGTGGACTATAACACAGTTTGTTATAATCCAGATTTCTTTGCAAGTAACAATTATTATCATATTTTGCCCATGATCTACTTTTCATCCCACTGGAACTTTTTCTCAGTTTGAAGATTTTGAATACTGATGGAATTGATGTGGTAACTTTAAACCGTCTGTGAACTAAGGAAGGGATCCTTGTAGTGCTTAAACGATTAGTTAATCAATAGAAAATAGATGATTAATCAGTAATGTTTAATTAACATTAAGTAAAAATGACCAAGTTGCTGGTTCCAGCTTGCTGCTGTTTTATGTCTCTTGATGTCTTCGGGTTTTAGACTGTTGGTTGGATAACACAAGCGATTTGTAGACATGATGATGACATTTTTCACTATTTTCTGACATCCCATTAACAATCAATCAATTATTATTAGGTTAGGAGGCTCATATTGTTAGGCTCACATTATCACTTTGCTTCTTTCTTTTGGCTGGCTGGCAGTGGGCAGGCCTTATCAGTTAACTTAGAAAATCATATCAGGGTTGTTGTAATGATCAGTTCCAGATAGTGGTTCCAATAGTGTTCACAACTGGAAAGCTCAAATATAGACACCTCAGCCAAAGACCAAGGTTCAATGTAATTAAACCTAACTTTAATCGATACAGTGTTATATTGTCAACACAGCAGAATTTTAATGTTCACGACCAACTCTGCAATCATACAACTATCTTGACAATATGAACAAGTCCTTGACATGGGAATCTTCCCCATCTTTAGCATTCATCCCACGTGATGTGAATGCAGCATTAGTGCTCATGTGATGCAGCATTGTGGTGTCAATTTTGTTGATTGTCTGCCTACTTGTCTTTTGCTAAGTTAAGGTTTTACCTTGAGTATCGTTTCCTTTTTGGACAAACCACAAACAACAGAACATGAACAAGAACATCTTCGACAGATGTAATTTCTGTCACGATAACCACAATAATGAAACTCCAAGCTATTTACAAGCCAACCCCAGGGGATTGAATCCACCACCACAACCGCATGAGACGTCACATCACCTCATCATGTTCAGTACTTGTTTTTCAAGTAGTAGTAGTAGTTTCCCAGAGCGGTGAGACTGAAGAGACTTGACACAGTAGAAGTGCTGTTTGAAACATGGTGCTACTCAGTATCACTCCATTCTCAGCCCTGGATTATAATACCACACTGGAGAAAGTCACGTAGCTTCCGCTTCACTCTCTCCCAACTGGGAACACCAGCAGTCTCGGAGTAGAAAATGAACGAATGTCAGCTAATTATCCCATTTTGCCACAGCTGTGGCTTTTGCCTCCTGTGGCTCACCAGTATTTTTGTTTACAGTGACCCTGTTAACTGGTGACTTTCAGACCAAAAAAGTCGGCAGTTAATGGAGACACAGGAGGCAGAGTGACGGAGAGTGCAGGTGATTAGTACAAGCAGGTAGTAACATTAAACCCCTGTACCCCTTACAAAGTAATTAGCAAATACAAAAAAAAATGGCGGTAATACAGCATATTACCATCCTATTACCATAGTGAGCCATCCTAAATCTCTACAGGGGAAATTCCTTTACCGCGCCAGGCCGAACATCATTGGGCTGTGCTGGAGCTAGCCCCTGGAAGCCGACTCAGGCTAGCCAGGCTTCACTTTCTTTCCTTTAGTCCTTAGTATTTCCTTTTCTTTCTAAGTTACATTACTAATATTTAGAAAAATAATCCTCAGATGAACCCATGATGATATGTGCATTGAGGTTCCTCATCTACCTGGTTGATGATGTAGATGCCGTAGTCAATCCTCTGCCGTCGGAGGATCGGGTGGAGGTAGTGGAGCCAGTACTTTAGGTGGTTTTCTCTGTGACGGAACGGGATGATGATTGCCACCTACACAACAAAGACGGTTTCAGTTGGTAATTGTATTCAACAAGAACAGTTACTAGAATCAATTTGAGAACCATTCAAATTCAAAATTACATCAATGCTGGCAGAGAAAAGAGTATAGCATAATCAGGAAAGGGGAAGTATTTGATGATAGTCTTCATCTTTCAGATCTCCAAACCGTGTTTGTGTGAGTAATTACACTTAAATGAGCTTTGTTTCATTCTAAGGTGAACTGTTCTGCACCAGAAAATCATTTCCGTAGAAAATCCCCCCCGGTTAATGTCACAGTGTACACAAAGTCGCTTCTCATTCATTATGAAAGAAGCAGCTCTCAATGGCACTGCAGATTTGAGACAGATTTGAGGCCGCCCTGTATCTCTGTACTCGTTCTCAGCTGTCCAGACAGTCCAAGGTTGAACTGTAATTTACTGTGTAAGTTCATGGTAGTTTTGCACTCAGATGAAGACTGGCAGCAAACTGACCTTGGTTTCTTTATAGTTAGGCATTGTGATGGGTGCACCTATGCCACATG